GAGAGAGAGAGAGAGAGAGAGAGAGAGAGAGAGAGAGAGAGAGAGAGCAACTATGTGTGGGATGAGTTCTTTTCTGCCAATCGTCTATATAATTTTGATCTCTATTTTGACCTATCTTGTTGCGGCACTTTCGAGCTTTTGCTTGTAAATCGTTTCGAGTTTTTTTTGTCGTTCTGCCTCGTGTGTATGCATGGAATGGATGCGAACTCTCTTCGAGTGATCTTTTCGGATTTTTAATTCTGTTCTGCAATGCCTGTTTAGTTCAAATTTTGTCGCTTTCTAGTGTCCATCTGCGTCGTGCAATAATCCCGAGTCTGATTGGAAGCACTCACTATGGATGTTTGGGTTTAATCGTTAGCTTCGATCGTTAATTTTGTGAGGTGTTGGCCCTTGATGCCAGGGCAATTGCCCTTCTCCCGTCTCTTCGTCTCGTAAATGGCATGGATGTGAATGCAATGACTGGATCCCACCTGAAATAGTATGGGTAGGATAGTTGCATGCGGATAGGACATAACCAATACACAGGCATGAGGAACCGGCGCATGATCAGCTTCCGCTCATGTGCGCGCTCGCGTACGACCGTGATCTCGAGGAAACCGAGTCGCAGCGTATGCACGCGTCTGCATGAGTCGATCTCAATCTTGACTAATTATGAGGATGCGGGAGACCGAGTTCACTAATCGGATATGGTTGTAAAACCCCCCTCTTGGATCACCGATCGTAAGAGTCCGAGGGGCCTGGAGTATCGCGAATACTGGGAGGGTGAATGGCTCAGACGACAGGGAAACTTGACAAACCCGGAATTTTCCTGTTTGACGGAGAACGACCGACTGTGCGCGGGGGACTTTCATTGGGCCATAGCCAACGATCCCCGGGGCCCGGACTACCCAAATACTAACAACACTCAGTATTACATATGCCCGCGCTTCGTCGTTATTAATATCAGTTTTCCTCCCTTCCATCTCCTCCTCCTCTACCATCAGCTCACAGTGGTACCGTGGAATTCCATAGCTCGCTGTTGGCCCCGCACACCGTGCGAAGAGTGCCAACAGCACCAGGCGTATTGGACTTCGGGATTTATCCGACGAACATGGGCCGAGGCCGAGCGGCGCCGCCAGCTGTTCGAACAACACGATAGCCATAACGACCCACCGATCCACCAGAGACGGGACTGACCGAGACGACGACACTTATACCAGAGGTAGCCCGGTCTCCCGAAGTCCAATATAACTTGGGACCACCATCTTGCTCAACTACCCCTAAGCTTGCCACCGGAGATCTCAGTTCTGACCTGGGACTCCACCCCTGGCACACCCCTCTTCGCACTTTCGGGCCCCCCTAACGCTCCGAAACAGGAAGTCGTGCTGGGCGTGAGGTTGGTATCGGAGCCGACACGTGTCAAGACAGAGGATTGATAGGTGGTTACGCTCCTCCAGTCAACGAATCTGGCAAGTCCTAGATAGGGACGAGCTAGACAGAGAAACGAGCGGAAGCGCGATCCGATAATAACTAGAAGTCGCTCCGCTGGAAGACAGACGGGTAACATGAACGCCAATCATGTGCAAGGTGGGGTGAACTAACTGAATTTGGCTCCCCAACAACCTCCATGTGTGCGCGCCCCAGCCACCCCCCCTGATTTATACCTATTTAATCCTGCACACCACTTGGCAGGAGCATGGCTTGCCACACTCTGAGCGCAACAATATGATAACGACGAAGATAGGATCAACGTCCCTGCTCGATTGGGCGGAGACGCGCACCATTGGTTTAGCACGTACACGTGGATCGATCTCCCGACGTGCGAAAGAGATTTCTTACACCGATTTAACTATATTCATCTCGAACAGGCATTCTTCGTGATCAAAGATCGGGTGCAGAAGCCGCTTGAATCCGTAGCAGAATACCGAAGTCGATTCTACAGATTATTTATCAAATCACAGAGGGAAGAGACGGTCGGTAGAAAATTTTTCATTGACGAACTCTGAAGCCGAGCAATGAGGGCCAAATTGCGAAAGCAATTTCCCCCCATTACCCACAATTTACAGCAAATAATGGACGCCGCCGAGGAAATGGAGCGAAAGTTCGCTGCCAGCTTCCTCGAAGGTGAGGATCATGTTAAAGAGGGGGATACGTCCGAACTTACACGAGCACGAATGGAGCTCGCTGCGCTGCAAAACAAATTTGAAAACATGGGTTTTGTCGCAGGACCCGTCACCTACCTGGAGCCAGTCGGGGTGTAGAAGCCGATGGCCAACATGACCACCGCACCACCTGTTAACCCAACGCTATCCTAGAGCGAACACGAACATTGGTAAGCCTCATGCAGGAAAGTAAGAGGGAACATTGGGAATATAACGCCCAAATGGAAACACTACTCCACTCGATGCGCCCCATCACAGATTGAGCTACTCCCACGGGAGCGGGAGCTGCGCAGGCAGCAGGTGCTGTCGCAACAGGAACAGGGGCGTGAGTAGACGGTTGCTACACGTGTCACCAACCAGGACACATAGCAGGAGACTGTCCCAACCCACCTGCACCAGCTCGGATCGGACCAGCGCCAGCAGCTGCAACACCTATTGCTAACGGACCAGGAAGGGTAGCTACGATGGTAAAAGAGACTGACAACGGTACAGGCCCATTGGGGGTTACGAAGGAAGCCGCAGAGCTTATCCCACTCGACCAATATATATCGTTAGGATACCTGGGCCTCAGAATGATCGGGGCTATCCAACCTGCCCCTGACAATAACGAGGTCTCAGAATGGAGGCCCTCCCCGAGTGAAATGGAATCTGGAGGACCCGCGTTCGTGACGGGAGAAATCTGTGTACTAGATATAGTGCACTTGATCACCGCATCCCTCTACCGATTGGACACTTGTTGTCCATCTCCGAGCAGGCTAATGATCGGATGCTATAACACTACAAGGCAAACCGAAGACGGTTTGGCCTCGCCAAACTAACAACCGCAAAAGGAAAGGCCCCAGCCAAATATCCAAAGCCGGATGAGCCGAGCACCTCAGAACCCGTTCGGATGGGCCTAATCCGGAAAGATGACCATGGAGATCCGTGGAGTGTGATGTGGAAGTCTGGTGCAACCCCTACAGTGCAGTCCTCGACTCCGGAGCCGTGGTCCTGGCTATCTCCCTTCGGGTGGTCGAACGGGCTGGAAGGCGGAAGGATGTGATTCCACTCGAGGAAGGCGATCATTTCGTCTCTGCTGATGAAGGTAAGATTCGAGTTGTTGGGAGGATGGCAAATGTTGTCTTCCGAATAGGAAAGGTCCATGCCTTAGGCGACGTAGTGGTCCTAAACGTGAACACATACGACGTCCTCATCAGATTGCCAACACTCACTGCCTTGCAGGCTACGCCGGACTTCGAGCGCTACCCGGATGAAACAGTTACCGATCGTTATACGTGACTGTCACTATAAACTGCACGTGCCAGAGTATGTGTCGGATGAGATACACAAAATCATCTCTAACATTTTGACGGAATATCAGGATGCGATTAGTGTACAGGATGCAGACATCGGATTGTCCCGATTCACTGCAAACCGTATCGATATTCATTGGTTGAAAGACGAACGGCCCTAGAGCGGATCAGGGAATTCGAGGCCAACGGATGGATTGAGCCCACTACAGGACTGTGGTCCTTCCCCATGGTTTGAGTCCCCAAAAAGACCGGATCCATCCGCATTTGCATCGATTACCGAAAATTGAATGATATAACGATCAAAGATATGTACCCCCTCCCTCGGATTGATGATTTGCTGGATGCAATTGGGTGTGCTAACAATTTTAGCAAGATCGACATCCGCCACGGGTTCCACCACATACTGGTCAAGGAAGAGGATCATCTGAAAACAACATTTGTACTATTCGAAGGCACGTGGCAATGGATTTGATGTCCTATGGGGATTTGCAATACTCTGGCTACGTTCCAAAGAGCGAAGAACATGACTTTTCAGAACTTCGTTAACAGGACCCGGTTGACACAAGGAATCGTGAATTTCTGCGTCATCGTGTATATGGACGATATCCTGGTATATTCGGACTCTTTTCACGGGCATGGTCAGCATATCGAGTGGACACTTGGAGCGCTGCGCGATGCGGGCTTTAAAATCGCCCTGGAGAAAAGCGAGTTTTTCCTTTCGGAAATCTCATTCCTCGGGTATGTGGTGACTCGGGGAGGCTTACGGCCGGACTTGCGGAAGGTGGATGCAGTTCGAGACGCGCCCACACCCACGTCACTGACACAGGTCCGAGCCTTTCTAGGGTTGGCGTCCTACTACCGTCGATTTATCAAAGGCTTTGCGACAATCGCATGACCCTTGACGAATCTTCTGCGCAAGGACCAACCACTAACCTGGGACGGGGAATGTGAACGGGCCTTCTCCACTTTAAAGGAGGCCCTGGCCTCCGCGCCCATCTTAGTTTGTCCGGATCCTAGGAAGCCATTTATCCTCATCATGGACTGGCAGCCGGAAGCAATTTCCGCCATTTCGGCACAGAAGGGGGAGGACGACCGCGAACACGTTGTCGAGTACGCGTCCTGGACAATACCCGACGAGCGGAAGAACAATTCGGCGCCCCAAGGAGAATGCTACGTGGTGGTGTGGGGCATCCAACATTTTCACCCGTACCTGTATGTGCAAAAGTTTCTTCTCGTCACCAATCACGAACCACTGTTGGCGCTCAAGAAACTGACTAACTACACGGGAATGATCGGGCGATGGGCGGTACGATTGCAAAAATACGACTTTGACATCGTCCATCGTAAGACAGAAAAGCACGGGAATGCGGACGGACTAACACGTCTGCACAGGCCAGGCAAGGTGCCAAAGGGGAAAGAGATCATGTCGTGGAAGGAGCCGAAGCAAAGTGAAGGGCTTGAGTACGGACAAGTGGCAACCCTTCCGCGTACTAAGAAGTGATACGTGGCAATGGGTGACGAAGGTAATTCCGGAGGCCCCCTTTCTCCCCTCTCGTCCTCGTCACTCCTCTCCTTACCTGACAAGTTTTGCTATTTCTGCAAGGCAATCTCGCGTGTGTCTATTCGGTCCCTATGTGTCCTAGCGGGGAAGGGTACGTCGAATGGGTAGATTGTCGGCAATGTGTCTCCAGCGCCCACGACTCCTGCATTCAATACCGAAACGTGGATAAGGCTTGGTTGTGCCCCTTGTGTCGATCCGATAAAATTCCTACTGAAGCCCGATTTTTTGAAGCCACGTCGGAAGGTTTAAAAAAGACCCGTAGGTTTAGAAGGGCAGAGGTATGGACAGATGTCGTTTTGATAGCCACAGTGGTCGGAAACCCCCTCCGAGACTTCACCAAGGAAGACCGTAGACGGGCTAATGAGAGGGCCCGGGACTACCGATGGAACGAGGGACGATTGGAAAAGCGAAAAACCAACGCTAGTGGGATTTCGATGTCAGTAGACTCAGTACCTCATCCGTTCACGAGGTATGACTGGGCTAAGTCGACACACGAGGAGACTGCAGCTCACTTCGCCATACGGATTGCGGAGATGGTGATTGACAAAAATAAATGGTATTGGTCCAATATTCGTAATGATGTTAAGTTCATCGTCCGAAACGGTCAGGTCTGCGCCGCTGACAAAGCGCCGACTTAGCCGCCTAGGTCAATAGTGCCCACCAAAGTCCAATGGCCATTTACGAGGGTTAGCATGGATACGACGGACATCGTCATGCCCCCTGGACCGAATAGCTGTGAGTAGTCAATTCTCTTGGTGTTCGTTGACCACTTTTCAAAGTGGATCGATGCCTACCCATGTCGAACTAGACAGACGACGGAAATAGCGCGGTATGTCAACCGTTTTCTCAGGATGCATCAGGATACCAAGGAAATCCTTACGGATAATGGAGCAGAGATCCGAGGTGAAGTTATGAGGAATTTAGTCGTACATGGAGTACATATTCGTAATACTGCCCCCCATATGTCTCAATCAAACAGCCTTGTAGAAAACGCCAACCGGGTAATTAAAACGACACTCCAACGGAATATCGCGGCTAGGGACACGCGACCGTGGCCTGATATTGTAGATCATATCCTGGCTATACACCGAGGGACCCCACATGAATCTATGGGATTTTCGCCATTTCAATTACGAACCAACAGCCGAGCTTACGTCTCGGGAACCTGAACGATGAAACAACAATCGGTCGACGACCCACAAGAGCAACAACCAAGGAAAAGGCAAAGCGCCATTTGGAGCTTATATTGCAGGCCCTTCCAAGATTGGCCAGAAAAAGGGAGAGAATGACTGAATTGGCCCACGACCGTCAGATCCGCAGTTACGAGGCCCGAAACGGGAATGAAGGTCCCTGACCCTTGTATAAATTGGGGGACTGGGTGCAGGTGAGGAAATGTGCTCGTCAAGGGAAACTAGCACCACGATTCTTCGGGTGCTTTCGAGTGATCGAACTCGGACCTAACGGTGTGAACACCGTGCGCCTCGCTCCCGAAGTGACAGGCAGTTGGTCTGCTAGACCCATAATCCGCCACGTGTCCTATCTCCGCCATCTCTCTACTTTCTCCCCTCCCTCTCCAACTGGGTCGCCTTCGGAATCTGAGTCCGAGTGGGAAAGCGACATTCCCCATTCATCTTTTCCTTCCTCTTCGCCATGAGTTTTTCCACGGAACAGGTACTTAGTGAGCGGATGCTAGCACCTTGCGGACACATCTCGGTGATCAGGCAGGTTCATCATCCGCGTATCAGCCCGGATGTCATCCGATTTGCTCAGTTTTTCAGCACGGAAAGCGTGCATGCAGCAGCAGAATTCCGATTCGTGATACCTAACAGCAGGGCACAAGTGTTGGCCGAAGCATCGGCCTATCTGCGGCTCTCGGTACCAGGGAGCAGCCACATTTTGACAATTGTCTCCTTCAGCGGAGACATCACTACGGTGGATCCAAGGGCACATCCGAGCATCCTCGTCTCGTTGCGAGATTGGGGGGAAGAGTTAGCGAGATCCTGGAGTCAGTTGCTTGCGCGGCGGGGGAAAAACGTCGTCAATACTAACAGTATTGACCTGGACGACATCCATGCTCTCCGACAGAATCCCGCGGTATCTCTCTTTGCGCTCATCGTTTTCTCGCGTCCTCAATGAACCATCACAGGTTCTCTACCTTCAGCCTCCCCTCTGTCTTCCCTGTCTTCCGAGTCTGGCAGTCGGTGCTCCATCCTCGTCTCTCTTTCTGTGTGCGGCCGCTGACGATTTCTCCCATTAGGCCCGAATAGTGGCGAGGGTGGTTACAAACCTATGCGACTTTGTCCCTGTGTTTAGTCAAGATCGAGCTGAAGTGGACCCGGGACAACGAGCACCATGCCGTGAACGAAGACGTAGAGTTACTCATCATTCAAGCTTGGAAAACGGAGGTAGAGCGAGATTTGTTGGGATTCGTCTTCGGATCAGTGGAAGCGGGACATCGACAACTGATCGTAGGGGGGCTTCTAATCCTTCTGACGCAGTTGCTGGATGATTTACCAATCGACGTCATCTCGCACTGCGACGAGAGTCCGGCGCCGCATATTCTTTCGCGCAGCCTGACGCCTTACCTTCAGTGGTCGGCGTGCTTGGAAGGTGATTGGGATAACCGTAATTACCCGTCACACGGTAATCACCTAAACCCCGGAGAGATAATCGATATTCTCTTCTTTGATCGAGGTGAGCCGACGTCGGAAGAGGAAGAAGAAGTCGAGGGAGAGGAGGACGAATCGGAAGGTATCTCCGAGGAGGACGAGTATTATAGCGAGCATAGTGAGCATGAGTTGGGGGCAATAAGCGAAGAAGAACAAAAAGACGAGGAAGAGGAAGCAAGTGAAGAGGAAGAGGCGGAACAGACGGAGCCACAAAGAGAGGACCCTGCGGACGCAGAGCAGCGGAGGGCAGAAATAGCGGAAGGAAAGCGGCCACTAGAGCAATTGGTGGGAACTGATTTTCCAATTCCAGACAATCTGACCCGAGATCCGGAGCCGCTGACGCAGGAAGACGAGCACCGTGCTGCAGAGACTTCGAGCGCGCCATCGGCGCCGATGCGGAGGCAACAGAGTCGCTCCCCCTCCCCTTCCCCCCGTCCCTCAATTCGAGCATGTGTCGATGCGGGGCATCGGGCTACGTCCCCGGTCATTATCCCGTCGTCCCCTTGATTACCTTACACTCTGGCAAATCGACACCTCGCTCGCATTTCCCCAAAAACCCCTCTTCCCTCTTTTACCACTTCTACACTACCCGCCTCGCTGTCACAGTGTACCCGCATCCCACTACTCAGTGTGTCTTCCCATCTTTTTGCCTTCACGTCCTTCTTTTCAGCGCTGCGTGGCGGGATCACAATGTAATCGAAGTCTACTGCACTATCACAGGAACTATTCCCATGTGCGCACATCGTGAGCAATTCCGCGTGGCCTTGCTTCGGACCTTTTCCACTCTCTATCCCGACTACCTTGCTTCTGTCCCCTATGGCAGCCATCGTTTCCCGCGCATACACCTCACCATCAGGTAGCTTGAAATTCCTGGGATGGTAGCAGGGGTGGCGAGCTTCTTGCCTGCACTCCCAAGTGAACATCCCCCACCCCCCGCCTCGTTATTCCGACTCCCTTACCCTCCTTCCTCGGGACATTAAAGATGGGTGCGAGGATCACGGCGTGTCAGCAGGATGACTTCCAGACTCTTATTCTATGGTAATGACACGTGCGAAATAATGAGTCATTCTTCTTCCTTCTTCCTGACCTTGAAGAGATATGGGTGCACGTAGGAGCTTGCACAAGATGGAACCCCCTGGGCGTCACATATGTGATGAGCTGTCTTCCGTAACCGCGCTACTTTCTGTGCGACGTTGCTTTGGGGAAATGGGACGGGTCGGAGGGGGAGCAGTGGAAAGACGGGTCGGTCGGGCAAGTTGTATGGATACCCTCGTTTCTTTTGTTTCTGTGAGAGTCGGTCGGGTCGGTATCGGGAAAGTCCCGCGTCGACGATTGAGTAACCGCGCCTCAGCGAGCGTGATGGACAACGGTTGCCATGACTTCTTTCTTGTTTTGCTGTGAGCACCATGAATTTTTGGCGCGATCATCGAGCGGGAATATCATTTTTTAAATTTCAACTAATGTCGAGATCCTACGGGCTTGAGGAATTCTTTGTGGGCTTTTCAGAATATCCTTTTGCAATTAGGACTTAGACTAGGAATTTAGGCGCTCCAAATTATGTTGCGCCATGCTTCTCACTTGCGCACACTTTGCTGCGCCAGGAACTGGGCTCTGACTAGATCGCGCCCTTAGTCTTGTGTAACTGTCGCTTCTGGCGGGCGCGATTTCTAATTGTATTTTTCTTCTTTCTTGATTTCTGCATGTTTGCTCGCCTTCTTCTTCTTTGTCTTGTATGATTAATACCCTGTTCTAATTGGCTTGAACGCCTGTACGACCGGATCGATGCATGGAGAGTGGCTACTTCCCCCATGTCGCGGCCTGGCCATGCAGACGTAGGCACTTCCTCTCTTCTCCTCCTGACCACTTGGGCTTAATCCCGTATCTTTCGTGCAAGCATGCATGATATAAAGTTCACAAGCACGATTAGTTGTCTCTCTATGAACTTTGGAGTTAGCGCGATCAGTGAGGGCCGGCTAACGAGTCAACTTGAAGAGGTGAGTCGACGAGAGAGTTGGGCGATCCGACGAGCTGGTGTCAGGTATGCGGGGTTGACGTGCAGGCCACGACGGACTGTGGCACACGGGCGAACCTGGCTTGCATGCTCGAACCAAGCACGATGACAACTCTGTGTTGATGCGCGGCGACGGACTGCCCGCGTCGGAGAGTGGAGAGAGAGAGAGAGAGAGAGAGAGAGAGAGAGAGAGAGAGAGAGAGAGAGAGAGAGAGAGAGAGAGAGAGAGAGAGAGCAGTTGTGTGTGGGATGAGGTCTCTTATGCCAATCATGTGTATAATTTTGATCTCTATTTTGGCCGATCTTGTTGCGGCACTTTCGGGTTTTTTCTTGTGAATCGTTTCGAGTTTTCTTTATCGCTCTGCCTCGTGTGTATGCATGGAATAGATGCGAACCCTCTTCGAGTGATCTTTTCAGATTTTTAATCCTGTTCTGCAATGCCTGTTTAGTTCAAATTTTGTCGTTTTCTAGTATCCATCTGCGTTGTGCAATAATCCCGGGTCTGATTGGAAGCACTCGCTATGGATGTTTGGGTTTAATCGTTAGCTTTGATCGTTAATTCTGTGAGGTGTTGGGCCTTGATGCCAGGGTAAATGCCCTTCTCCCGTCTCTTCGTCGCATGAATGGCATGAATGTAAATGCAATGACTGGATCCCACCTGAAATAGTATGGGTAGGATATTTGCATGTGGGTAGGACACAACCAATACACCGACATGAGGAACCCGCGCCTGATCAGCTTCCGCTCATGTGTGCGCTCGCGTACGACCGTGATCTCGAGGAAACCGAGTCGCAGCGTATGCGCGCGTTTGCATGAGTCGATCTCGATCTTGACTCATTATGAGGGTGCGGGAGACCGAGTTCACTAATCGGATATGGCTGTAAGAACCCCCTCTTGGATCACCGATCGTAAGAGTTCGAGGGACCTGGAGTATCGCGAATAATGGGAGGGTGAAAAGCTTGGACGACGGGGAAACTTGAGAAACCCAGAATTCCCCTGTCTGATGGAGAACGACCGACTGTGCGAGGGGTACTTTCACTGGGCCATAACCAATGATCCCCAGGGCCCGGACTACCCGAATACTAACAACACTCTGTATTACATATCTCCGGGCTTCGTTGTTATTAATACCAGTTTCCCTCCCTTCCATCTCCTCCTCCCCTACCATCAGCTCACAGTGGTACCGTGGAATTCCATAGCTCGCTATTGGCCCCGCACACTGTGCGAAGAGTGCCAGCAGCACCAGGCGTATCGGACTTCGGGATTTATCCGACGAACCCTAGTCGAGGCCGAGCAGCGCCGACAGCTGTTCGAACAGCGTGACAGCCATAACGACCCACCGGTCCACCAGAGACGGGACCGACCACGACGACGACACTCATACCGGAGGTAGCCCGGTCTCCCGAAGTCCAATATAACTTGGGACCACCATCTTGCTCAACTACCCCTAAGCTTGCCACCGAAGATCTCAGTTCTGACCTGGGACTCCACCCCCACTTTCCTAAAATCCTTGACACACCCCTCTTCGCACTTCCGGGCCCCCCTAACACTCCGAAACAGGAAGTTGCGTTGGGCGTGAGGTTGGGCGTCACAATGCTGGCAGCCGGAGGAAAACTGTGGATGCTTATGGGTGAATATATCTTGGGCACGGAATGGGAATTGAAAGACCACAGCCTTCAGCAGACGCAAACCTAAGTCCCCGCTCTAGAGACGTATCTTAAGTGCATGGAACAAGCTTCGTCCGAATAAGTGGCTCCGTCCGACCACCAAGCAGCAGATGCTCAACCAAAGCCTCTTCGATAATCCGTTCATACTCAGATGTGAAGGCATGCCCTTCTCAGCAGCGGACATTGCAGGTAACTTTGGCCCAGTATGGACCAAGAAGGATGTATTACAGATCAGGGACATCTGGGACTTCAATAATTCGACATGGCTAACGGTTCCTCAACTCAGACAGAAACTGCCAAGAGTACATAGAATGGCGGAGCACTTGGCTGAACTCATTGAGGCCATCCCTCGGGAATGGCAGAGCTTACTTCAAGCAGAAGCAGAGAATGCAGCGGGTACTTGGCTCAGAGACGAGACGCACCCTGGATATGTGTACCGAGTCCTGGGTCTTGACCTGGTCTCCGGAACGCGAGTGGAGACATGGCGTCTACAGAGAGACTCCCCTGACAGGGGTCAGTTAAGTCTGGAAGCAGGGGAAAGCAGATTAAACGATACCAGACACCTCACAGAAGTTCCAGTTAGCATTCAAGATCCGACTAGACACAAGGACAAGGCTAAACTAGAAAAGGACGCAAAGTCCTTTAAAGTTGAACCTTTGCTAATTGGCTGGGACACTCAGAACAATGGATCAAAAGAGAGTTTTACCCCTCTTCTACACTACCAAACGAAACAGGGACTCCAGCTCCAGCAAACTCAGATCAAGAAATCAGCGGCGTCAAAGGCTGTTAGCCGCGCAAGAACCCAGAATATTGAAGGGGTTACAGAACACAAGCTATGCTGCTTTTGGAAAGGGCTAATGAAACCCCCAGTGCAAAAACATGCGAGCTTAATGTGGCTGCAATCAATGCTGGTTACTACAACAGCGGTATGGCTTTCTGACAAAGGGATGGATATTCCTACTCAGTGCCTGAGATGCAACTGGGGCTGGGAGAATATGCTCCACTTGTGGTTATACTGCCCGCTTGCGGATGAACTCCTCATCTGGTGGAAAAGGCACTGGGCTAATATTACCGGAGGGGCCTTTGACTGGACGAGTACATGGATGTTGTCAGGTCTCCTTCCGACAAATCTGAACTACAACTCCGAGTTTGGCTACCTGGCTGTATGCTGCAGAGGGTTCATAATGGAGACTATATGGGCAGCAAGGAACGCCTGCATTTTTAGAGGAGAGACTATGTCACTCAGCCAGCAGCAGGCACGTATCAAAATGAATATAAGACTTATTATACGTGCGGATTGGCTCCATAAGAATTTTATATGGTTCAGCAAGACATGGGTGGGAGGTAACCGCCTGGTCACAATAAATCAGGAGGGCAGAATGGTCATCTGTACATGGCTATCAGACACCCACGACTGACAAGGGGATAGGCGAATCTCGATGCTGTTGGTGACGTTGGCAGCGGTCTGTGAGTTAGGTCTTGCTTAATGGAAATGGTAAACCTGCTTGAATTTTAAGTTGATTGTATAGAACATAAAGTGGCTGGTGGTTTTGAGAAAGATTATTTTTTGGTTCAGTCACCTTTTCTGAGCTTCAAGGTTACTTTTGGGAAGTACTCATTCCCTTCTTGAGAGGTTGGTGGTTTTGGGAGGCTGGACCTGGTTTCCAGTAAGGTGTAGAATTGTGAGGTCCCCGGCCTCGATCACTATTATTTTTCTTTCGGAATATAATGTGACAACTTCCCCCCCCAAAAAAATATAAAAAATCAGTGCTGTAAAGGGCATTACTACCTTTGGATAAACTTTTTTTTTTTTTTTTTTTTTTGGGGGGGGACAAAGCACCAAGTGCGTAAATAAGCACATCTAAAGCTGTCAGAAAGCACTCTCGATTGGGAGCGGCTGAGGCGGGCGGGTAGCGTAGCGCTCCGCTTCGGACCGTCGCCGTTCGTTAGTCGACGGTGCTACCTAGCCGCGCACCTCGCCGCCATGACGAGGAGCGGAGGTCGGCCATGTCTGGCTCTTCACTAGAGTCGATGACATGCTTCGCCTAGGTAGTCCTTTAGAGTAGTATAGAGTAGGGGTTCACATGCATGAGCTAGCTTAGAGTGAGGGTGAGAATAAAGACACGTGTCAGCACTAGAGGTGGGTGTTCGGGTTTCGGAGTTTCCAAGGCCCGTGACGGGTATATACTTTCCAAGGAAAAGATGTGACGGGGTACACCTGTATGGTCCGCTGCTCCAGTGGCTGGTTGGTACTGGAAGTGAAGTTGGTTTTGAATAGGAGCCAGATTGATCTCACAAACTTTCATTTTTGCAACCTGGGTCACCCTAGTGTAACGAAGATGGCAGAACAAGGCTCGGTCAGGAGGAATGATCCTCCAGCTCCATCGGCGGCAGGAGTTGTGAATGATAGGTTAAGAGAGTCGATAGGAAGATGTTACACAGAGGGAGTGTGTCCGAAGGATGTCTCATTGGAAGAGGTGGTGGAAGATAGAGAGGGGAAGCGTTTTGTGGTCAATGAGCAAGTCAACGCAGTTAAGGAGGCCTGGCTGAAAGAACACACGGTAATCGTCACGTTCGGGAGGCGAGGCAACTCACAAGACATGTAAAGGAGGATTTAATTCGGGCCTACGAGGATGGATGGTTCGTGAAAAAACTGTTCGGTCCCGAAGTGGAGAGAGGGAGGGTCAAATTCGAGGGTGCGAACATGGTCTCGTATGTAGCACAGTCAAAGGAAATTGCGAAGTGGCTCCTTCGTCAACAGGAATTGAAGATCAAGCTGCAAGAAGGGGAGGAATATGTAATCATGTTCAAACCTTGGCGGCCACTCCAGGAACTTAAGGAAATCAGGCTACAGGAAGTCGAGACGAAGTTCTGGGTTATGGCGCTTCGAGTTCCATTGGATGCATATTATTATTTGTATAGCGCGGTACAAGGTGTGTTTGGGGAGGTGTTGTTGATGCATGCGCCAGAATATGACAACTCAAGACCAAAGTTGATGAATATTAAGTTTGATATGGCTCCTGACTCAAGAGAAAAGGTGGATGATGTCTCAACGATTGAAGCACCTACAGGGGAAAGATGGAAGCTGGAAATTGCAACGCCTTACACGGATTGGTGTCGGAGCTGCGGATGGTACTTCCACACTGAGGCCAACTATCCAAGAGCTCGTCAAGGAGAGGGAGTAGGCACTCAAGGTCGCAGATCTGGGGGCCATAGAGCGCGGTTCTCCCAACACCAACAAAGACAGAACAGGCAGGAGTCGCCACCTCAGGAAGCGGCGGAAAGGACAACTGCAAATCAACAAGGCCGGACCCCAAGTGGGTCCCAACTTCAAGGAGCTGGATGGGCCGATCAGATGGCAAGTGAAGGGGCTCAGAATTGGGAGCGCGAGTACAGAAGTGGAGGACTTACATCTCGAAGTGGGGGCCAAATCGGTTTTGAAAGAGACTTGGGTCTGTTGAGGCAGGCATTGAACTTTGGGCGAGATGAAGGTTTTCAGGAAGATATGAGGGGCCCTACAGGCTTGTTTCAACCTAACTATTCTAGAACAGTGAATGCTGGTGCCATCGAAGAGGGATTCTCGGAAGGGCAAGGAGGCAATTGGATGCCTATGGAGCAGGTAGGTGGTCAGCATATTGTACCCCCCTGGCAGGAGAGAATGGAGTGGCAGGCGGATAGTTATTTGGGCGATAGAGGTTACCCACATGTGGGGCCCCCCCCAATGGCAGGATACTCGTTGGGAAATGGGCCCACAGGATGGCCGTGGGAGAGGAGTGCAACAACCATGTCAAATCCCGTAGCCCTATCATCTGCCTGTACCTCTACATCCTACCCCGAGGTATCCCTCCAATCAGTATAACTGGAGGGAGTTAGTCACTCAGAGTCGGGACTCACAGTTAGGGAGAGTTGGCACTCCGTGGCAAATGGATAGACCTGGTCCATCTCGACTGGGTAGGAGTACGAGTGAAGACTGGAGGAATCCGGGAAGGGCTGGGGGCGGAGGCAACAGAGAATGTGATTAGCGTGACCGGGGTAGGCAGGAAGGGTACGGCTTGGGTGGTGGCGGTGATACCGAGCGGCGCTCTACAAGAGGGGATAAGCCGCAGTTTAGATCAGGGTCACAGCAGGACAACAGGGGGAATTTGAACCAGATCCACGAGGAAACAGGCAAGACGGAGAAAAAAGTGGGAGATTTGTCAAGATCCTCGGCCTCCTCGCACTCCAGGGTGCGATGGGGGAGTGAATGGTATGAAAGGGGAGCTTCAGAACACTCAAAGGATGATCGCTCCTCCATGTTGAGCTCGACAACCTCCAAAAACTCAGGGAATGAAAGAAGCAAGGAAGTCGACCCCATGGCGCAGCTACACGATCGCAGAGCGGATACTCTGCAAAAGAGCCAAGCCGAAAAAGTGCAAAGGAGACTCGTTCCCCTTCTGTGTACAATGGCGAACAACGGTGCATACTTCTTGGCGTTGGCACAACCGGATGGATCGTCGTTATTACCTTCAATTGATGTGGAAAAGTCTCCGACCCCATCCGACATTCTTAACTTAACCGGGATGATGTACGGACAACTTGTCCCGATACGGTTGATTCCTCACTCAACGATGGTGAGTCTGATCATAGAATCGAATGCTCGATTCTATAAGTTATATTTTTCGTTGCTTGATGCTCGCATCCCTCCAGAACTGGCAGATTCCCTGATGCAGGGGGGCATGAGGTGGGTTCGGCTTGCTGACTTGTAAGTAGGGGAGTTAGACTCTATCAAAGTTCTTCCGGGGATCTCCGCCAGTATCTTGATAACAGTAAATGAGAAACTGCAGGCTGACAAGAGCCTTTTATCCCCCTTTCTAGCAAAGGCATTGACCTCGGATTGGCAGGTTGTCTCAGAATCTAACTCCTCCCGTGGTAGCACGCGGGATAAGTCTAGATCCTCTCGGATCGCTGGACTCTAGAGCATTGGTGGTAGACAGATCTTCCCAGCTTCAGTCAAGACAATCCCAGGTACCGACTCGCATCCAAGAGCAAGCGAAAGCAAAACAAGGGAATGGATAGGCTCAAACTCGTGTCATGGAACGTCAAGGGACTAGGGGACTCGAACGACAGGGGTAAAAAGCGCAGTCTGAAGTCATGGGTGCATGAGTGGAACAGGAACTGTGTTATGTTACAGGAAACCAAGTTGAGTGAAGAAAAGATTAGTGAGTTGGGTGACTGGTGGCAGGGACCTCAAATTTGGTCCCCTGCCCAGGGTACTCGCGGGGGAGTATGCATATTATTGCACAAAGACTTACAAGTCCGAGTGATTGATAAGGAGGCTGATATCTGAGGTCGTTGGGCTTGGATGCGGGGGACGGGAAGAATGGGTTCTTATGACGGTGTATGCGCCAAATAAACAGAAGGAAAGGGAAATCTTCTTTAGAAACCTTATTTCTAATATTCCAAGGGTGGAGAAGATCATTATCGCGGGGGACTGGAACAGGTCTCTGGATGAGGCGCTGCGCCCAGACTCGGCTTCTGTAGGAAGAAAGGACGTGGAACAACTGTTGTCCCTCATAAATGCCCTCTCTCTCGTGGATCCTTTCAGGCTGCTTAACCCGGTAGAGACGGGTTACACCTGGTTTTCTCACCTTCATCAGGACAGGCAATGTGTGATTAGACGCAGATTGGACTATGTGTTAGCCTCTGAGCAGCTGCTGCCCAGGGTAACGACGGTCCGCCAAACGGGCCACCCCCTATCAGATCACAAGCCAGTGACAGCGGAGGTTAGAATGCTAGAGGGGTGTGAGAGAGGGAAAGTTTTTTTCAGACTCAATAAACAGGTCCTGGAAAACCCTGGTATCTATGCATGGATTGACGATCACATGGCTAGATGGGAAGACGCAAGGGAATTTTTCCCGGAGCCAGCAGATTGGATGGACAGTGGGTTGGCAATCGTCTCAGGGGTGCTGGATATCTGTTCTCGTATGCTGGCAAAGGCGAGGAATGTGAAGGAGGCGATTTGTAAGAGGAGGGTGGAAGAGGCAGAAGAGAGGATGGAGGGCCACCCTATCTCAACAATGGTGTGGGCGGCAGAAAGGGAAAGACAGATGGAGGAATGGGATAAAATGCATCTCGAGGAACAGAAAAGGTGGCTGGAACTGCTGAGGGAGAAGGGAATCGAAGTCCACGATCAGATGACTAAAGAAACTTTTCAGAAGTTACAGCCGCAACGCACCTACCAACATACGGTAGAACTCCGCCATCCCTTCGATGAGTCTGCACCAAACGCGTTTACGGCCTCGGGTATGCTGCACTACGCCAAGCTCTATTATGAAGACATCCTGACCTCGAGACGCCCACAGGAGGACCCGACATCTGATCTATCTGTTGACTCTGATATATGGGAAGATACAATTGTGAAGCTGTCCGACACCACGAGACTTTCTGGACCACCCGGTGTCCTTGGAAGAACTCACGCAGACAGTGAAATCTATGGCTAAGGGGAAATCTCCGGGGATTGGTGGTCTGACGATGGAATTCTACAGTGCTACTTGGGCCTCAATAGGCCCAAGGTTAGTAGAAGTGTATAACTTGGTCCTAACAGGCGGGCGGCTTGGAAAATGTATGACACATGGGATTATTAGTATGTTGTTCAAGAAGGGGGACAAGACAGAAGTGAGGAACCGGCGTCCTATCTCGCTCTTGAACATTTCCTACAAGATTTTGGCGAAGACGCTGGCACGAAGGTTGGGTAACCATCTACCAGATCTAGTGGAAGGGGATCAGGGTGCTTTAGTACGGGGCCGATCAATCCTTAACAATATTGTGACCGCTTTGGAAGTTTTGGAAGTGGTTCAGTCGGAGGACCTGAACACTGCAGTTGGAGAAGGCCTACGATAAAGTAGGCTGGCCGTTTGTGTTTACAACCCTGAAGAGAATGGGTTTTGGTTCCTCCTTCTGCAAGTGGACAGTAGCCATGTATGCATTGTCAACTTCTGCAGTCATGATAAACGGACACCTTTTGTCCTCCTTCAAACTCTCCCGCTCGTTGAGGCAGGGCTGCCCCCTGGCCCCGCTTCTATTCGTTCTGCAGATGGAGGTTCTGCTGAACAGAATCCGCCGCAATCCAGTGACAAAAGGGTTGAACTTGCATAGTGGCTCGCAGTGTAAAGTCAAGGCTCTCGCTGATGACTTGTTTGTCATCAGCGAGAATTTGAAGGACTCATTAAACACTCTGAAGGGCTTGCTGGTGGAATACTCGATTCTTTCGGAAGCAACTGTGAATTGGAACAAGTCAGTTTTTATGTTGCGAACACAGTTCGAACTTAGTGTTCAATGGGGAATGAAGAGAATCAAAGAGGGAGAGGAAGAGAGGTTTTTAGGGGTGCTGGTTAGTCTGCAGGTGGGGGTTTCGACTCAAGGTTTGCTGCTGCAGCAAAAAGTAACAGCAAGACTTCGCATGTGGGGCCTGGTATGGCACCTATCAGTGATAGGGAGAGCTCTCGTTGCAAATGTGGCTTTGTTCTCCATTATGTGGTTTGTAAGTTCGGTTAGGGCTATCTCTGACAGTGTGTGGAAAGTCATTAAACGGCTGGTGGCACGGTTCATCTGGAAACCAAGGGCCAAGGAGGGTGAGGGATATTTGGCTAAGGTGGCATGGGACTTGCTTACCTTCCCACGTGCAGAGGGGGGGCTGAACTTGGCAGACCCAGCAAAGAGAAATCAAGCTCATCTCAGCATGTGGCTGGTCAAAGTGGCTAACGCCCCGAAGAAGGAACATTGGATGGAGCTTGCGGAACATATTCTCATGAAGATATGGAAGCTGAGTCGTCCACTGGATGTCTGGCATTGTTTCTTCATTCCTTCCTTCTGTCGAAAGAGGCTGAGTCAAGTTTCTGGCGGGAGGTGATAAAAGCCTGGAACAGTTTACCACCAGAGGGACGTGTTAATCCAGTGACCAAGGAGGAAGTGCAGACCCAGCTGTTGTTTGAAAATCCTCGAATTACATTTGGGGATGGCGAGTGGTTCAAGGCGGACGACTCCATTGGTACTTTTGGTGCAGCCTGGTTCGGAAGGGATTGGTCACTATTGGGGACTTGTGGAACCCAATTCTAGGAACTTGGAAAACGCTGCCTGAGTTGTTGGAGGTCCTGCATCCACTGAGGAATGTGGAATCTCATAGGAATCAGCTGCTGGAGGCCATTTCGGAGGAGTGGCATCGACTTTTGAGTCCGGAGGGAGTGGACCCAATTAACACCTGGTACTGTCCAGAAAAGGATGGGTCAGCTGAAGTCTGGAAGGTGTTGGAGATTCTTCCAAGTGGATTTCGAAGAGTACAGGTCTGGTCCTGTCAACAGCACTCAAACGAACTGTGCCTCTTGAATGAAAAGGTAGTCATGACTTGGGAGAACCTTCCCCAGGCAAGAGTGGTGGAGCTCGGGGGTACCACGGAGCAAAAGAGAAAATGGGTTTGGATAGGGCATACACCGCTGAGGAAACTATGTATTGACCCTGATTCATGGTCGTGGCATATGGGAGGCACGCACAGTACTAAGCTTCGGTTATCTGAGTATTCGGTAGCGAAGGGCTACAAGTTGAGATTAAGCAGGGGGAACAGATCTTCTCCTACGGAAGATGCAATCAGAAGGTGGCAGGCAGTAACATCAGAAGATTTGTCAGACGCGGGTTCGTCCTTCTTAAACCTTTGGGATACGCTGTCTAAACTCCCGAATGGTAAGCAAGTTTCCATCTTATGGATGATCTCCTTGCTAGTGACCCCCTCTACCGTGTGGTTAACAAGCAGAGGAGTGCAGGTCGAGATTAAGTGTTCGCGTTGTTCTTGGCCTTTCGAATCAACGCGTTGTGACACCCAACCTCACGCCCGGCGCGACTTCCTGGTCGGAGTAGGGTGTGGGCCTGGAAGTGCGAAAAGGGGTGTGCCAAGGATTTTTGGAAGGTGGGGGTGGAGTCCCAGGTCGGAACTGAGATCTCCAGTGGCAAGGTTCAGGGGCATAGATGCAATAGAGCAATGGGAAAATTTACGGGCGCGGGCTGACACGTTGGTGGCGCGGGGCCGTCCGATCCTGATGCGATCGCCAGTTCTGAGAGCCTGTCGAGGCGGCCCTTGGGGCTCACGTCTGCGGGGCCCGCCACAACACAAGGCGTGGGTTGGTGGGAACTAGGCCCAGGTGTCGAGGCTTCGGGGGTTCGGGTATGGGCACGCCGCCTGCAGCTTCGGCACGGGGTGGAGGGCCAGTAGGGTGCTATGGAATTCCACGGTACTACTGTAAGCTGATGATAGGGGAGGAGGAGGTGGTATGGCGGGAAATTAGTGGCGATAAGGGCGAAGCCGGGAGTTATGAAATACTGCGTGTTGTACGTGTTTGGGTAGTCGGGTCCCCGCGGGTTGCTTCGTACGGCGAGATGGAATTCCCTAGCGCAGAATCTATCGTTCTCAGTGAGGCAGGGGAATACCGGGTTCCTCAAATTTCCCCGTAATCGGAGCTGCTCTCCTTCCCAAATTTCTCAGTACCCAAAATACGACTCGTAATCCTTGGAATTCCAAGATACGTCGGAACTCCCCGAGCTCGTCATTCTTTCATCACTCACGCCTTGGGGGATGAGTCAATCGGGGAGATCACCGCTCGTAAGTGCGTAAAATAGATGCGATCGAGTCACACTTACGCGCACTTACGCGTGATGGGTACCCCGATCCCTATGGACATCGACTCCTACTTCAGTGAGGGGGTGGCTACGCGCATCGGCGAGTCCGAGTGGTATGGACACATGTAAGCCACGCTCCGTCCAGTCGCACTTGCATGTGCCCATATGGCACGTCGGATGGT